ATGCATAATTGGTCTTAGTCAGTGTTGCCAAAACCTAATTGCGAAAAAGTGCTAGATTGTTTCGAAAAAAATGCTAGAAAGTGCTAAAAATAAAGAAAAAAAAATATAGAAAAAGTGCTAACAAAAATAAAGTTTTTTATTGTAAAATATTTAAATTAAATTTTTTAAAATAAACTACATAAATAATATTTTTAGCTTAGTACCCACTTATTATGGGTTGATTTTAATACAGAACAAAATGTTTATAATAACTAGTTTTAGAGTTTTTCGATTCTTACTTTATCCCAAAAAGAGGATTTTTTATATGGCTCTCCTAGAATTTTCTAAAATAGCTTTATTTGTTGGTAATTTTTAACTGCATTTTACATTAATAATTAATTTACATAATAATTAATAATTTACATTAATACGCAAACGTACCAAATCCACTTATTATGGGATGATTTTAATACAGAATTAGAAATGCTTATTCAATAATTTTTTTTGAATTTTTTAGATCGGAATAAACAACCAGATTCTGGAACTGCGACATTGCAATTAATAATATCGCCATTAATTCTCGAAACAGTTCTGTCGAAAAATGTTGTGATTAAAAAGTTCTGATGAAATAATTTCTTTCAATATTTCTATTGTTACAAATATTTACATTGGGATACTGGTCCAGATATTAAAAATAACTACTTCAAACCAATAGAAAAATGTCTCGAATTTATTGTAAGAAAATTTAATTATAATTGACGGTTTCCAAAAATTGATCTCAATCCCAACAATTTGAATAATAAATCGCTGGAAAAAGATCTAGTTCTAAAGAAGGTGTATATGTTCTCTAAAACTTCTCTAGAACTATATCTAAGGATAGCAAACTCGAACTTAAATCATTGATTAAAGAACTAGTTCCAGAAACGTTCCATTAAACGAGTTTGTTGATGCGTCACGCAAACGTTTTTGGTTGTGAATATTTTTGAAATTGAGTTTACAATTATAATGATATTTTTAATTAAAAGTCTATAGAAAGTCTGTAAAGAATATTACAATTCAAAAAATTTTTGGAAATGTAAGATTTTAGTTTAGCTTTGTGCCATTTTCCATAGGAAGTGCGACACCGATATTTCTACAGATAACTAGTAAACATTAATTTTTTGTTGTACATAATTATTTAATAATTATTTTTTAACCATATTTTTACAGAAGAACAATTAAAATTGGCATACAAGAATATGTACAAAAATCCTAAAATGTGCTAAAAAAGTGCCAAAAAACATTTGAAAATGCTAAAAAGGGTGCTAGGTGCTAGATTACATTTTTGGGTGCTAAATGAGTTTAAATCTAGCACTAAAAGTGCTAAATTGGCAACACTGGTCTTAGTTCTCATATAAGGCCCATTTCCAAAAGTCACTTTTTCCAATATATTTCATCCAACACAGTGTGTTTTTTATCGAAAATCATTCTGTGAAATTTTGTTCGGATTGGCCAATAATTGGCCATATCTCCATAAAAGGTATATATGATTTCTAAATGATACCACCCTCATCACGGAAGCACAATTTAAACCTTCACAATTTATTATATACGTATCTAGTAATATTTATAAGGGTTTTCATAAAAAGTAGCTTACAGGTGCAGGGTATTTAAGATTCGGCATAGCCGAATGTAGCACTCTGACTTGTTTTTGAGTATTTCGTTTGGATGCCTGTGTGTTTCATTGCCTTCTGCATATTGTTTTTGTTTCTTGGTGCATTCAGTTTCGAATGTTTGGGTGTCTGTTGGTTTCGTTGCGTTGTGTATTTTGTTTTCTTTGGAGTATTTCGTTTCGTATGTTTCATTGTCATGTGTATATTGTTTTTGTTTCAGGTGTATTCAGTTTCGTATGTTTGGATGATGTTGGTTTAACTGCCTTGTGTATTTTGTTTTTTGTGTGGTCATTATACCCTCCACCACCATCAGTGGTGATAGAGGGTATATATGAGTTTGTAGTTTGGTATTGAAAATTAGCAACGTAATAACTTATGAGTAAAAATTTCAGACTACCTTGAATTACTTTTTTTCCTAATTCTTTTGAAGTTTTCCCAGAAACTACCAAAGATATTGCGATGAATTTTGTCACACATTATTTTTTCAAGGCAGTGATTAATTGTGTTCAAAATCTTTAAAATCGATCCAATACTTCCCATAGCCCCCATGCAAAGATATATATTTCCGGAAATTAGTTTGTCGTTAATAACTCCCTCAAATATATCGGTAGCAACACAAAATTTTGTAGATGTAAATATAATATGAACAGAAATCTTAATATCAACGTAGATCTCAATCGGTCCACAATTGGTCATAGCTCCATATAAGGTCCACTTCCGCAAATCACCTAAACGCACATATTATTGTGATAAAATTCGACACAGATATGTTTTGTGTACATATCATCCTACCAAATTTTTTTGCTGATCGGTCCATTATTGGTTATAGCTCCCATATAAGGCCCACTTCCGAAAATCACTTAAAAGCACATATTTCATTGTCAAATAAAGTTACCTTGATAAAATTCGACACAAATAATTTTTGTCTAAATATGAATCACTCTATGAAAAGCTTTTCCGGATAGGCCCATAATTGGTCATAGCTCTCATTTAAGGTCCACTTCCGAAAATCACTTAAACGTATATATTTCATTGAATTCAAAAGCTAGAGGGATAAAATTCGACACAAATGTGTTATGTATACATACAAATCATCCTACCAAATTTTTTGCGAATCGGTCCATTATTGGTTATAGCTCTCATATAAGGCCCACTTCCGAAAATCACTTAAAATCACATATTTCATTGTCAAATAAAGCTATCTTGATAAAATTCGACACAAATATGTTTTGTCTTTATACGAATTACTCTACGAAATTTTTCCGGATAGGCTCTCATATAAGGTCCACTTACGAAAATCACTTAAACGTATATATTTCTTTGAATAATAAAGCTATCGGGATAAATTCGACTTGAATATGTTTTGTGAGCATATAAATCATTCTACAGATTTTTTTCCGGATCGGTCCATAAGTTGTCTTAACTCCCATACAAGGTTTACTTCTGAAAATCACTTAATACCACTAAATTCGTTATTAAATGATTATATCCGGATAAAATTCGACAAGAATATGTTCTGTGTATAGATATATCATTATATTAAAATGTTTGCGAACTGGCCTATTAAAATAAATTTTTCTGGACTTAATTAAAATTAGATTGATATATGCATATCAATACGGGAACAACAATTTTGCCAAGTTATCTAAAAATTACATAGTTAAATGGGTTTTTAATTAAAAATAGCTTGCTGGTGGAGGGTATTTAAGATTCGGCACAGCCGAATATAGCACTCTAACTTGTTTCGTTTAGTGTTGTTGTTCATTTTGTTTTGCTATTGCTATAATAATGATATAGTCGGGAAAATGCAAAATATATAAATTTTATGAAATTGATATTTATGGTGAAGGGTATATAAGATTCGGCACAGCCGAATACAGCACTCTTACTTGTTTTTCAATAAAAATGTGCGTTTAGGTGATTTTCGAAAGTGGACCTTATATGGGAGCTATGACCAATTGTGGACCTACTGAAATCTACGTTGATAGCATAATTTCTGTTCATATTATATTTGCATGTACAAAATTTTGTGTTGATATCGATATATTTGAAGGAGTTATTAATGATGAACTAATTTTAATTATGGGAAATTTCGAATCGATTATTTTAATTTTTAATATAATTTATCCCTGGATAAAAAAATAATGTGGGATAAAATTCATAGAATTATCTTTTGTAGTTTCTGAGAAAACTTAAGAATTACGAAATTTTTTCGAGGTAGTCTGAAATTTTCACTCATAACTTTTAACGTTGTGAATCGATTTTGCTGATTTTCAATACCAAACTGCTTAGGACAACTTTGAATATTTTTGGTGAATTTGGTTTATTTCTTTTGCTTAGTTTTAACGTGAACATGTTTTAGGCAGACAGACAGACAGACGGACATAGCTAAATCGACTCAGAATTTGATAAGGACCCAGAATATATATACTTTGTTGGGTCTCAGATGAATATTTCTTGGTGTTACACACGGAATGACAAACTTATATATACCGAGGGTATATAAAAATCAAAACTATAACACTACCTTATAATTAATATACCTTGTTCAGAACAATACTATCGCCGGTATATAGTTTAAACGATCCCATTGGTACTCATCTACACAAAATTTTGACAGATAATATTACTTGTGTGCTCGTGTAAAGGGGGAGTTGGACAGCTTGGATATAAACTTCTAAGTACAAAAAACTATCAGCTGTAAAAATGGCTTCATCTTGTAAGAATTTGCCTTGGGGTCGTTAATGTGTCAAACTAAAGACACATCAACATTTTTATACCCTACAGCACTGTAGTAGGTTTGTGGTGATGGCTGTAACGGCACAAAATAGTGTTCCTACCGCCACCATGTTAAAAAACAAAAAACTATATTTAAATTTTAAGCCGATAGCTTAAGATTCTAGTGCTATGTAATTATTTATTGTAATTTTAAATAAAATAAATCTTGACCCCCTTATTCACAAACAATATTTTTATTTTTTGAAAGGTATGTAAAACAAGATTTCCATACAAATCTAATTTATAAACCGTTTATAAAATAAAAATTTTGTTTATGAATAAGGAGGTAAATGAATGAAATAAATATTTAAATTCCAACATCAACTTAAACCACATTTGGCCAAACATTGTGCGTCTGTAATAAAACTACAGGTCGCATTTTAAAGGCAATTTAATGAAATTTGATAATTGCTCCAAGAACCTATTGAAAATATTTGAAATTGATCGATTATTTCAGTTAGCACTCATAGGGCCTTGTGACTCATAATTATGTTTAATAACAACAATTTTTGTAAAGATTTAACAGTAGCTGCCATAAAGTTCCCTGCAAAAATAGCTTCTACGTCTGTAATTTACTTATGAATATTAGAATTACGATAACATTAGGCATAAATTACTTTCATATAAACATAAATCGCTTTACCAAATTCAATGAGGTTCGGTATATACATAAAAATAAATATCAAATTAAATATAAATACTTTTTTATGAAAAATATCACATTATATGTAAATATACTCGTAACTGGCGTAGGTTATCACATGTTCGACCATTCTTTCTTAAATGTTTCACACTAACTTTGACAGACAAAATGCATTAAACAAACAAAATATTTTTTGTTTAACTGTAGGCATTCATTTCATCTCAAGCTATTCCTGCTATAGATTGTGTTCGCCTAATGGTGGTTGTTTTTGAATATAAATCCTGTATATGATTCTCAGCGCGCCAGCGTAATAAAAATAGAGCATATCTACAAATGTTCACCCTTGTCCTCAACGAAGCACTTACTATATGTATACTTTTAGATGTTTTACCAAGACACATAATTTTCACTGCAAAAAAAAAAAATAATAATAAAGTGTCAAACAAAATATTAGCTGCAAAAAATTATATAGCTAGTGTTTATTGTAAAATTAATATAAAAATAATAAAAGAAAATAGTTGCACATATTGTTTAAAACAGTTAGTTAAGAATTGTTAAATTTTAATAAGAAAGTCGAAACAGAAAAACAGATTATGGAATAATTTACATATAATAGAGAAATGTTTTAAACTCAAACATTAAAAGTGATAAATCGATAAAAAAATGTTCTGAATACTTTAAAAACTATGGATTACAAAGAACTCTTCACAAGTAGTAAATTTAGAAGTATTTTTTTTTTGTGAAATATTAAATATATTAATATTAATATTAAATCAGAAAAAATAAAAAATGGATTTCAAAAACTAAGTAAGTTTTGTAAATTTACATATGTATAACATATATTTTATATATATATATATATATATATATATATATATATATATATATATATATATATATTTTGTATTTGTAGTAATTATTTTAACATAGTATGTATTTCTGTTTATTTTTCTTTTCACAATATATGACCTAGACCCATATGCAGGCATTTTAAATATGAATATGCAAAAATGTTACCATATGTATGTAAAAATATATCGGATTAAGTTCCTGCCCTAAATACATACGAAATTTTTCCGGATATGCCAGTAATTGGTCATAGCTCCTATGCATATAAAGTCCACTTCCGAAAATAACCCAAACATATTTCATTAATTAATAAATCTATTGTAGTAAAATTCGACTTGGAACAAAGCTAAGGAAATTAACCAAATTCACCCAAAATATTTATTATTATCCTAAGCATTTTGGTATTGAAAATCAGCAAAATCGGTTCTCAACGTAAAACGTTATGAGTAAAATGGGTTTTAATAAAAAGTAGCTTGCTGGTGAAGGGTATTTAAGATTCGGCATAGCCGAATATAGCACGCTAACTTGTTAATTTTTAAAATAATTTTTTTTTATATTTTTTTTTCAAAATGGGCCCATTTTAATTATAATATTATTTCTGTTCATTTCGTTGAAGTGATTGATCATAAAATTTATGAAAAACTACAAAAATATTTTTCAACAGTTGGAAGATTAATACTGATTTCCTGAAAATTATATTTGTATAAGGTAATACAATTTCCTTGAAGGGCTTTATAGTCCCATAATGGGATGCGTGTCGGGTATCTATCAAAAAAATTATTTTTTAAATCAGGAATAAAATTTGTTCAATAATTGGCATTTAATTTTCCCCTATATTTATACCCTCCACCACCATCAGTGTAGGAGGGTTTGTAGCACCGAGAAATATTCATTTGAGACCCAACAAAGTATATATATTCTTGGTCCTTATGAAATTCTGAGTCGATTTTTTTCATATATTTATTTGTATTTTTTACAAAAACTACCGCAGATAAATTGATGAATTTTGTCAGAGATATAACTCTTGGTGCCAGGATCAACATTGTTAAAAATCGGAAAAATCGGTTCACAATTACATATACCTCCCATACAAACGTACATATTCCCCGAAATTAATTTATTGTTAATAATTTAAGAAATAATGCCGATATCTTTACGAAATTTTACAAATTTCAATTCTATGCTAATAGAATACATATAAAGAAACAATTTTCTGAACCGGTCCATAATTGGTCATAGCTCCCATATAAGGTTACCTTCCGAAAAACTCTTAAACGCACATAACTCATTACCAAATAACGATATTCATACAAACTTTGACACAAATATTGCTTTTATCTACAGAAATCTTACTGTACATTTTTTCACGATCGGTCCACAATTGGTCATAGCTTCCATACAAGGTCTCCTTCTCAAAATCACTTAAACGTATATATCTGATTACCAAATAAAGGCATCCATACAAAATTTAGCACAAACATTGCTTTTATATACAGAAATGTTACTGTAGAATTTATTTACGATCGGTCCGTAATTGGTCGTATCTCCCATACAAGGTCTCCTTTCGAGAATCACTTAAACGCATAAAACTCTTTACGAAATAATGATATCCATACAAAATTTTGCACAAATATTGCTTTTAGCTACATCTTATTATACCCTCCACCACCATCACTTGTGATAAAGGGTATATATAAGTTCGCCATTCCGTGTGTAACACCAAGAAATATTCATTTAAGACCCAACATTCGATTTAGCTATGTCCGTCTGTCTGTCTGTCTGTCTGGTTAAAACACGCTCAAGTTAAAACTAAGCAAATGAAATCAACCAAATTCACTGAGAATATTCATTGTTTTCCTAGGCAGTTTGGTATTGAAAATCAGCAAAATCGGTTCATAGCTTAAAAAGTTATGAGTAAAAATTTCAGACTACCTCGAAAAAAATTAAGTTTTTTTCCCTAATTCTTGAGTAGTTTTCTCAGAAACTTCCAAAGATAATTCGACAAATTTTGTCACAGATAATTTTTTCCATCTATAGATTAATTTTGTTTAAAATTATAACAATCGATCCAAAATTTTCCATACCCCCCATACAAAGGTACATATTCCCGGAAATTAATTTATCGTTAATAACTTCGTCAAATATATCGGTATCAACAGAAATTTTGTACATATTGACATAATATGAACAGAAATCATACTACTGACTTAGATCTGTATCGCCCACAATTGGTCATAGCTCCCATATAACATTCGAAAATCACTTAAATGAACATATTTCATTGATAAATTAAGCTATCGGGATTAAATTCTACATGAGTATGTTTTGTGTATACATGAATCACACTACGGAATTTTTCTCCGGGTCAGTCCATATTTGGTCATAGCTCCCATATAAGGTGCACATCCGATAATCACTTAAATGCGCATAATTCATTGATAAATAAAGCTATCAGGGTAGAACTCGATGTGAATTTGTGTTGTATATATATATAAATCAATCATAATAATTGGTTACAGCTTCCATTTAAGGAATTTTTTCAGTATCGGTACATGAGTAGCTCCCATATAAAGTTCACTTCTGAAAACCACTTAATACCATATAATTATACCTTTCACCACCGGATCGGGCCATAAGTTGTATTGGTTCTCAGTAAAGCACTTAATACCACCTTATTCGTTGTTAAATGATTATATATGGATAAAATTCGACATGAGTATGTTCTGTGTATAAATAAATCATTCTATTAACATGTTTTCGAACTGGCCTATTAATATAAATTTTTCGGGACTTATAAAAATTATTTCGACATATGCATAAATGCTAGTACTCTCAATACGGAAACAAAAATGTTGCCAAGATATCTAAAAATTAGATAGCTAAATGGGTGGAGGGTATTTAAGATTCGGCATAGCCGAATATAGCACTCTTACTTGTTTCAAAATGGATTTTTGTGTTGTATTTTTGTTTGCTACAAAGAAAGCTTAGACCAGTGCCTTTGAGCTTTGTGATTACTAGGGATGCCAAACGGGAATTCCCGAAAATCCCGGGAAAATCTTTAAGTAACATTTCTGTATATAAAGGCTATATTTCAGTCAAATTTTGTATCTATATTGTAATTTAGTAATAAGTTATGTGTGTTTAAGTGATTTTCGGAAGGGAACCTTGTATGGGACCGATCGCACCCATATTATGAACCGATCGTGAAAAAATCTTAAAATATAATTTTTGTATACAAAACTAATATTTGTACAAAATTTTGTATCAATAGCTTTATTTGGTAATGAGTAATGTGCGTTTAAGAGATTTTCGTAGCAGGACCTTGTATGGAGCTATGACCAATTATGGTCCGATCGTAAAAAATTCCGCAGTAACATTAATGTATATAAAGACAAAATTTTGGTTGAATTCTGTATCTAGTATATCATTATTTGGTAATAAATATTGTGCATTCAAGTGATTTTTTGGAGCTGACCTTGTATGGGAGCTAGACCAAATATGGACCGATCGTGAACAAATGTTATAGTGTGATTTATGTATATAAGAGCAATATTTGTGCTAAATGTATCGATATAAATATTTAGTAATAAGTTATGTGCGTTTAAGTAATTTTTGGAAGGGAACCTTGTATGGGAGCTATGACCAATTATGGACCGATCGGAAAAATATGTCACAGTAATATTTCTGCATATTAGAACAATACTTGTTCCAAATTTTGTATGGATATCTTAATTTAGTAATGAGTTATGCGTGTTTAAGTGATTTTCGGGAGGGACCTTGTATGGGAGCTATGTCCAATTATATACCGATCCTGAAAATTTTTTCTTTGAATGAATTCTATTCTCATAAGATTTTAACTTGTAAAATTTTGTATAGTTATCAACATTCTGACGGAAGTTATTAACAATAAACTAATTTTCCAGGAATATGTACTTTTGTATGAGAGGTATATGAAATTGTGGATCGATTCCGCCAATTTTCAGCAGAAGTGAAGCCCAGATGCAGAAGCAAATGTATGATGATTTTCATGTAATTATATTACATAGTTTTCGTGAAAATTTCGTGTAAAAAATGCTTATTTTATTTGGAGTCTTTTTAAATTTTGATTCATAACTTTTCCCGATGTAAACCGATTTTGCTCCTTTTCAATACCAAACTGCCTAGGATAATAGTAAATATTTGGGTGAATTTCCTTAATTTTAGTTGCATCGTGTTAACGTGAGAATGTTATACAGACAGACGGTCCAAGAATATATATACTTTGTTGGGTCTCAGATGAATATTTGTTGGTGTTACACACGGAATGACAAAGTTATATATAATATAATAATATTTTAACTCAAAAACTTTGCTTTTGGAGTATATATATGTATATATATATATATTGTTCTAATATGCAGAAATATTACTGTGACATATTTTTCCGATCGGTCCATAATTGGTCATAGCTCCCATACAAGGTCCTCTCCCGAAAATCACTTAAACGCACGTAACTCATTACTTAATTAAGATATCCAAATAAAATTTGGAGCAAGTATTGCTGTTATATACAGAAATGTTACTGTGAAATTGTTTTCCGATCGGTCCTTTATTGGCCATAGCTCCCATACAACACATTACTAAATTAATATATCCCTATAAAATTTGGTACGAGTATTGCTCTTATATATACAAATTTGACTGTGAAATTGTTTTCCGATCGGTACATAATTGGTCATAGCTCCCATACAAGGTTCCCTTCCAAAAATTACTTAAACGCACATAACTTATTACTAAATATTTATATCGATACATTTAGCACAAATATTGCTCTTATATACATAAATCACACTATAACATTTGTTCACGATCGGTCCATATTTGGTCTAGCTCCCATACAAGGTCAGCTCCAAAAAATCACTTGAATGCACAATATTTATTACCAAATAATGATATACTAGATACAGAATTCAACCAAA